AAAAGGAAAAGCGAAGAAAACAAGTTATAATTGGCCGACTTGGGCCGGGAGATTCGTTTGGAGAAGCAACGGTGCTAAGAAACAGTGTGATGACATGCGCAGTTGTGACAGATTCAGTGGTGGAAATGGGTACCATCAGTACTTTAGATGTGTACGGTAAGATCTTCTTCATCAGCATTTCTTTCTTCGTTGTGTTTATTATATACCTTGTTTTTCTTTCTAGCTTCTTTCTGCTCTAACGACAAGTTATTATGAATTGTTATAACTTTAAGGCACTACTGTATCTGAACGATTTTTTCTCCCATGCAGATCTTGATGATGTCACTAAATCGTTACTGGTYCAGTCCTACTCGGAGTTTGAAACTTCAATGACTGAGGTTTGTATATAATTCCTTCTTCGCGATAGCGCTCTCTAAAGCTTTTACGTCATGTACCTTATACGCAATGCATTGTAGGATATGTTGGGACAGAACATGGCGGATTTTTTTTTTCAGTCTGAAAGCTGATCCCACCATGCATTGAAAATCAAGTTGTGACGTAAAAGGTTCAGAAGTCTATTTCACTGGAAAATATCGCGCGCTTTAAAGTTTGTAAATTTGGACACTTACATCATAAGTTTGTAAATTTGGACACTTACATCATAAGTTTGTAAATTTGGACACTTACATCATATTTACATCAAATTTACAACCTTTAAAGCGCGCGATTTTTTCCAGTGTTTGAGTCTGTTGTTAAGAGGACCTTCATATCAAAATCTTGATAATGATTGCAGTACGAACACTGACTAACAGATTATGATGTTTTGATGTCTTCCAGAAGCAAATAGAGCAAGAATACATCGAACAAGAGAAAGAACGAGAGTGGACAAACTTTAAGGTATCTGAATTTTCATTGGTAATTTYWTTGCGCAAAACTCGRATGCGTAGGTGTKTCTAATGAAGTATAGATTAAATGATGTTTTGAAATTGCGTAGAGTTGCAATTTTCTGTTGCGAACGTCATCCTCTCGTTTCATAATGACGACGTCRTTCTCTATTTTTAGCAAAAAGTCGTGGCTGACGTACTTTTCTATCGTGACATTCAACCTGGTGTTAGCAAGTGGTCGCGCAATCCATCGCCACAAAAAATCGAGAGTCTATAACGTTACAGAGCATTAATTAAATGCTATTTTTCCTACTTGTTGGAAGACACTAGCATTGAAAAAAGTCAATGACCAGTGACTGCCTAGATTTTTCTGTGTACGTGTTGAGTACTAGATTTAAGGAAGAGAGTGCTCAAGAGGATTAAGCATTGGTCATTGGGATATGGATAGACAAACGTTGTTATGGTTTTGCTCAGCAACAAGCACAACAATCGCCTTACATCGATGGGCAGGCGCCTATTCGCAGGATTGTCAATACACCTTTTCAGTGGCTGTTAGGCCTCGACAGCGTGTTAAATATTCTTTTGACTTTGTAGGAATGTGAGCAATTCAAACATTGATATGAATAGTCTCATTTGTCAAATTCAAAAGAATAATTAACTTGCTATCGAGGCCTAAGAGCRGCTGAAAAGGTGTATTTATGACTGCTTGTTTCTTGCGGCATTAGTCTTGATAAATAGGTGGGTTACCTTTGGTTGCGAGAGAAGAACACAGAGAAGAACGAGCACCAGTTGATTGATTCAACACTGGTAACTCAGGAATAATTCGTTTCACGGATTTATAGTCCGTAGTGCGTGCTTTAGTGCATTAACTGTTTTAAAATAATATTTCTTTTAAATTAATATATTATTGTGTTACGTAAGGTGTTTTATTTTTAAAAACCCATTTTATGGACATGACGTTTTCGAGACTGAAATTACAAAATAAAATCCACAAAAATCTTGTGAATAGAATTCTTTGTTGTACTCYATCCATCATGATTCATGTAGACTCTCCATAGAAAAACAAAGAACAGGACAGCACTTTCTGAAACCGAGCGTCCCGAGTCGATTCTTTTGTTGAAAGATCCAACATGGCGGCWTTTACGTGATGGTACAACACGTTACCATTTTGACCAAATTTAAAATCCCATTTCTTTAAAAACTCTTATGAAAAATAAATTTAACTAAATACCCAAAACAAGAACCACATAAACATAACGAAAACAACGCTGTTGAAACAAAGTCATTATCATAGCCACAGTCACTTATAATATCTTTCTCCTTATCACTGGAAAAAAATCGCGCACTTTAAAGGTTRTAAATTTGATGTAAACATTATGTAAGTGTCCAAAATGATACATCAAGTTTACATCATTTTGGACACTTACTCAATATTTACATCAAATTTACCACCTTTAAAAGTGCGCGATTTTTTCCAGTGTATGATTGCGAATACGACTTTAATTGGCACAGTCCATGAATAGAATTGGAGTKTATGCATCACTTTCTTTGTGATTAGTCACCCAGCTTTCGATATTTCTCTTCCTCGGTGAACAAGTGATCAAAAGGATCTTCCTCGACAGTCGCTATCTTGCAAACAATCAACGAATCGAATCCTAGAACAACTAAATACGCTATAACACAAGAAATTCCCATCAAATCCCGCGATCCTGACGATTCTGGAAAGAACTCAATTGTGGTAAGTGCGAATTGAATGGCTTTGTGACTAGCCAGAATGACAACAGTTTTCTTGAGGGGAAGTTCGACCTTGAGTACACCACAGGCAACCCAGTTCAAGAGGAGAAAGATAATGTGCATGATTGYAATGAAGCCTAGTATTGCCATAGTGTTTGTGGCGACGATACTACTGTATTTATCGTCGTCCGTGGCTGTCTTGCTGATGACGGGCCATATTGACAGAAGAAACAAGACGATTACTATGTATTGGATTGGCTTTGGATTGTTGTCGACAAATTCTGGTAATCTTGGGAGTAAACGAATTGTTTGGCCAACCTAGAGAAATAGATGTTTATAATTTTGTTACCATCTCGGTGAATTATTCTCGGTAAAAAGCAAGCACTTACCATAGTCGGCAGGATTACAGTAAGCACAAATATTCCCAGCAACAAGGCATATCCCTTGTAGGTGACGTCACTAGTATCTATGGAACCCATCCATGACAACAGCGAAGGGACAGAGAATACACCCACGATATTTGTGATCAGCGTTGTTAGGAGAGCTAAGGCGAGGTTTCCTCCTGATATCACAGCCTGTCGATAGGTGGATTAATTAGCTCTATAATTAGTTCGTTTGAGGCCAAAATAACTAGAGGCTTCACACCATCGTTTGCGCAAAGAAAGAGTTTACGAAAAATATGAAATTAAAGGAGTTTTTTTTATTTTTTTCAGACTGCATGAATGTAATTGTTAAGAGAGGAACTCAGATGCAGCAAAATGATAGAAATGAGCTTTCATTTGCGTTTTAACTTTTTCGAAGCATTTATCCGAACTCATGAATACTTCATGACCTATTAAGCCAATAAGGAGCTACTATGAAGTCAGRTGATTGAGTCTTTAAAACCTGAAACTGATTCGTGGATTAATGTTTTATCTATTTCACAAGGCTTTTTTCCAATACTATAGGAAAAGGACTCACAATTCTATTTGGATCGAGTTTGAACTATGCCTAAGTTTTAGCGTTTTAGAAACATGTAGCTTACCAGTATTATGCCGGAGGCGAGTGATGCAGGGACTCCAAAAAACACTTCTAATCCAATAGCAAATTCTGTGGGTCCAATTGCAGACACATTAGCCTGAACATGAGAATGTAACGTTGAGATATTCTCATCAGAAAGCGTCGCAAAGTGAATCGTTTTGGTAGTTTGGATTCCCAGCGACGGAGTTATAAAGAGAATAGCCATCAGACTCCAAATRATAGCTTTATAGGCCTTCAAGCCTTCATAAATATSGTCGCCTTTCAGCTGAAGTCCAAAGGTGAAAAACAAAAGGCCATTRCATACATGGTGCATTTGAAGTTTACCCAGGAACATTCCTGTGCTTGTCCACTGAACGCCGATTATAATGATGATTATCATTCCGAAAAACAAGAAATAAACATCGAGGACTTCCAGGGTTTTCTTGGCGAAAGAGAAAAGACATGACTGAGGGCTTGCCATGCAGTTACAACTGTCTGGATCGTGAGCTGCGCAGTTTTGGTCCACCATTTTGTACCTTTTTCCTAGTTTTCGTTGCATCTTAGGAATCTCAATAAACTGCCACGATAACCAACTACCATAATAACGATTCCTTTCCGTTTTTCAAAATGGCAAATCTGCAAGGAAGCATCCAAGTTTTCAAATATTAGTTTAGAATACTCGTAGTTCTATTAGGACTGTTAGTTTATAATGATTTGGCTAGATGCAAATAAGAGTTGGTTAAATTTAAGCAAATATTGACTTTGCGTTAACCAATTGGAAGTGTTGAAGAAAAGGCAAGTCTTTGTCATGTAAATCGAGCCAATAACTTTTTTAAAACATGTTTAATTGACAAGAACTAAGAGCTACTGAAAGAAATATACAATCGTTTGTTATAGTCTTTGTAAATATGCAGTTATAGTGTAGGTACGCGCGCGTGAAAACRTGCAACCTTAGGCGTAGSGTCTRCCTGTGAAAGGCYGTAACAGTATGAAAAAGTCACTTAGTCAACTGCAAATGTTGTTGTTCTGCATAAGTCACAAAAATTCCTAATCCTGAAAGTGTTAAATCTAATCTAAGGCTAAGCCTATACTCTCAGCTGCATAAAAGCCACGCCAACAAAACTACACAAAAGAAGCTGCTTTCAAAATTATTTAATATTTGTAAGAGTGATTTTTAAGCGGAACATAAGTTCTTACCTTTTTATGTGATTTTATGGACTTATGAATGACCCAAGCACTTTTTAAATCAGTGTGTCGACTTAATCTGGTGAGTTTAAGATAATGAGAGATTTTTCCCATCAATTTCCTTCTATGTTCTCATCAGARTTAAAACTGGCAACGTTTTAGAGGAACTTTCAATTTGTGACGTGGCTTCCATATGCGATTGTGTTAACATAAGTTTCTCGATTTAAAAAAAMCCTGAATATTTATCAATATATAATTAGCATACAATTTTCAAACSGCAATAAACTTTCCCCATGCACTTTTATTTGCGTGTTTCTAAACTAAAAAGAAATGTGCTTCAGTTCGACTTYCTAACTGAACAGCTATTGGAACAGTTCACTTTAAGTAAAAGCATTCACAAAGATTGTTACAAAAAGATGTCYAGTCCAAAAAGAGTTACTTCATAATAGCGCAATGAAATCAAATCTCACACACCTCAAAAATACGCTATAAAAATGAAACTGTTAAATGTAAATTTTGTTCTTTCCAACAAGTGACATATACTTTTTCTTACCGTTTGACTGTTTTCGTATAAAATTTGATGACTATTTTTCAGCTGGGCTTCGTTCATCCAACGCCACTAAACTGATCACTGGGTGGCGTGATCTTCACGATTTCTTGGTAACATGCCTCAAGAGAAGCAAGCGTATCCTAGCAACTGACGTCAGCTGATTAAACTCCTGAAGTTGACAGCAAAATTACCTCGTTTAAGGACGGCCGTTTATTTCTCGGTTGTTTCGTTACCTAGAAATAAGCATTGTGCAAGACATTTTAGGCGTTTACTTGATACTAAATACTCTTTTTGTGTGAAGTTTTTTGTCTACAGTATGGTCGGCGGCCAGGTTCAGCTGATCAGCTGTTTGCTAATCATATCTAAAGTTTAGTTGTCCCCATTTTCACAMCTTCTGGAAATAGCAAAATGGACAAAAGGGAAATAATATTAATAATATTTATTAATATAATAAAAAGAATTAAGGAAATAAATTTACTGAATTAACGAGTCTTTGTTATCCCGAGATGTTTTGTACTCGTTTGGTGTCATGAAYTCAAACTGTTAAAATTATAAAAGGCGTGGGGCGCCCTGAAATAACATTCATTTGGACTTCAGAGTGGACTTAATTTCTACAAACAACACAGCACAATAAAAAACAATCCTTAGTTATTAGCCAACGCACTCACAAACGCCTCGCGATAATAACACGAGGTGAGCGATATGCATTATGGGACTGGTCAGCGGATAACGCGCGGGCGCACTAAGAAGGAAGTACCATCTGAAACAACACGAACTTATACTATACAGAAAATCACCATTTTCCTCATGAATGAATCAGTTTTTGATGTTGCAATAGTAGGAGGAGGTGTGGTTGGTTGTGCAGTATTACAGGAGTTAACTTCCCAGGCATATAAATGCGTTTTATGTGAACAAAATGAGGAAATTCTGTCCGGAGCGAGCTGTGGCAACAGTGGAACACTGCACACAGGATTTGACGCCCCTTTCGATAGCATGGAATTAGAATGCATCAAAACAGCTAGGAATTTAACCGAGGATTTCTTTGTTAAAAATAAAGTCCCTTTTAGAAACTGTGGAGCTCTGGTGGTCGCTTGGACCCAAGAGGACTTGCAGAAACTTGCTGGGATTGTTGAACATTCCCAAGCTGTTGGTCTCTCAGATATAACCCAGATAACGCGCAGTGAACTTATGCAGATGGAACCCAATTTAAACCCTGATGCTCTTGGTGCTGTGTATGTTCCCAAAGAAACCATTGTTGACCCTTGGACTTTCCCAGTTTCCCTCGCCTGTTTGGGGATTTCTCAGGGAGGTTCTGTTTTAACTGGGTGTAAGGTTGAGGGTGGCACCAAAGATCAAAAGGGCTGGCACTTATTAACTAATAAAGGACCAGTGCATGCAAAGTTGGTAATAAACTGTGGGGGGTTGTTTGGCGACAAAGTTGAAGAGATAATTCGGCCATCGCCATTTGATATAAAGCCACGTAAAGGACAGTACGCTGTTTTTGATCAATCTGCAAAGKGCCTGCTGAATTCGATTATTTTCCCTGTGCCAACTGAAAGAACAAAAGGAGTTTTGTTATTTCCTTCTGTTTATGGTAATATTGTTATTGGACCAACTGCAGAAGATCAAGATGATCGCCAACATGCATCAATAGATGATGCAATTATCAATAAACTTATCAAGAGAGCACATTACATGCTACCTTCACTCCAAGAGCATGAGGTGGTTGGCAGATATGCTGGTTTAAGACCAGCTACACAGTTTAAAGACTACCAAATTGAATTCCTGCAAGGTCAGGATTGGTTGACCATCGGAGGGATACGGTCAACTGGATTGTCGGCTTGCCTGGGGATTGCAAAGCATGCTAGTATGTTACTTCAATCAAAATCTTTTGAATTGTTCTCAGAGGTTCCTTCCAAGGAAAATGATTCAAAGGAGTGGGATAATGATAATAAAACACTAGTTTATAAAGGACGTAAGTTTAAAGTCACACATCGGTTGACGTTATTTGGTATAGAAACACCTGAGGGGTTAGAAAAATTCAAAGGTTTCTTAGGTTGATATAGCATGGAAGTCTTGTAACTATTGAAAAGGCAAAAAGAAATGAAAAATGAAATGCTTTTTTATAAAAAATTATAAATGAAAATAAATATTGTCTGTGTGTTTTTTAAAAAAATGCTTTATTGGGCATTTTGGGAGTTTTTCTTACACTCACTCACTTTTCACTACATTTATCTAGAAACCACTATAGTTGCAAGTGGAGTTTTTTGTATTTTGTGAACAGAGCTTGCTTCAATGCTATTAGAAAATTCAAACAAAATGCTGGTTTTCCTGTGGCTTGTAACAATTTACAATTTTACCCTCCCCTAGACAGTACCAATATTGAAAACATGGCCGACAAGACAAATTTCAGAAATAGTATTTCTGATGACATCGAAGGCGATATRATGGAGGAARACGAACAACCGCCGAAGCCAAGTTTACCTAAGAGAATCCTCTCTTTCCTTATTAAGAATTATCTTCCRATAATGCTYATTTTCCTAGTCGTTTTTGGWATTTTGGTTCCAGCGCCGGGAGCGTTTCTWGCCAAATATCCCACACACTACGTTTGCATCGTTGGTCTTTTTCTTCACAGTGGTATTAAGCTAAAAACTGGTGAGATAAAAGACGCTTTTCGTGCCTATAAGGCATTGATACTTCAGATTGTTATTATAATGCTTATTACTCCAATCATCGGTGTGAAACTCACGGGACTGTTGCCGTTCGGCGCCGGTAGTGGCAAAGATCAAAATGGCTACACAAATACTACAAATATTACGCAATCGTCGTCTAACCGATCGCATCGGGAATTGTCTGTTAGCTCATGGCTGGGACCAGAAGCTTTTCGTGTTGGTATCCAAATGTATTTTATTGTTCCTTGTAC